AATAGATATTAAATTGAAACAATTTTTAGTTATTCGAAATTTCATTCATTTTAATATAAAATTATAAATAAAAGTAAACGTATGAGTAAATTCTCGAAACGAGAAACGAATCTTCTCTCTAATAATATACAAAGTTAAAAATATACGAGTAAGGTCAGAACTTCGTGGAGACCCGTCACTCCAACTGTGGATGTTCTCGACTCGATGTATTTAACTTTCTATATTTAGCAATGTGCTATGGGGACAGTGATGCTACCAAATGTTTCCCTCAAACTCTAGAACCCACTTCACTCAGTAGAAATTATATCTTTAAATTAAATATTTATGTATGGGAATAAATAAATTATATTTCTGTACCATTTTGTGAGATTGTGTTTTATATTTGTTACAGATTTTTTAATTATTGCCATGCCACAATTATTGATAATTAAAACACCATATTTACCCACATCATTTATACTAGATTTTTTGTTTCAATTTTCCTAACGAAATTATATATATATATATATATATATATTATTTTGACTAATCGAATTATTCAGTAAACATTAATAATAATATTTTGACACACGCATACATACACATATCTACCACAAACATATAAGTATATACATATACCAATTTATGTATATACACACAAATCATAGACCAAGTAAATATTTTTTGTGTATTTTGTTTCATTTAAAGAGCCATAGAAGTAAACTTTCACTATCTATTTATTTTTATAGATCGATAAAGATTGCTTATTATTTTAATTTGAAATTGAACATGAATATCGAATTCATTTGCTGTTTCATTTTTGTGCTTGGCTTCATAATCTGTTCTTTTTTCATAATTTTTTCCATGATGCTAAACGATTACAAGAATTGTATATAACTCGCAAAGAGTTCAAACCTAATGAGGTTCAGTTTTTCAACTAACTAACTAACTTAACTACAAGTCATATTTGGAGATGCAAATGGTTTAGCTGTGCTCCGCATTTTCTAACGACTTCAAAAAAAAAGAAAAGGCTATTAATCCATCTGGATTTTTTATGTTTGTTACCTAATAACTTTAGACTGGGCAAAGCGATTTCATTTTTTTCTGAAAGCTTTCGGCGTGGTCCCAGTTCAGCTAGGTTCAGTTCTGACAATTACAACCTTGAGAAAACTATATATGTAAGTCTAAAATTGGTATTAAGTATGTGAGCGAGAAATGAACGAGTGACTTCAAAGCCAACCGATTTCGATTTATTCATGTATAAAGTTAGATTTCACAGATGGTCCCATGATGATTACAACAAGAAGTAGTTATGAACTCCTGTGAAAAATGAAGGAAATCATTAAAATATGTAGGCATACATAATAGCCAATAAGTAGACTATAATAATCAAACTAATAAAAAAATTCTCTTGATAACGAATTTCATGTACTCAAGCAAATGATATTAAAATATTCTACTTTCCAAAGCGTCCGCAAACGTATTACAAAAATTTAATTAATTTAATTGAAATACTCCGTCACACTGGAAAACACTTACCGGTGAAGTCGATATGGATTTTTTATGTAACAGTGCTTAATTTAAAAGACTTGCAATCATTTTAATTAAACGAACATAGACAGTTCGTCCAATGAACCATTCCAAAGATTTTGATTATTATTGTGCATATAAAATGTCATGTCAATGTCATCAAAAAATAAATTTTACTGATTTTATAAAACAAGTTTGATACAAGCATGTTAATATTTATCAAACACAATATAAAGTGTTTTATTAATATTTTGTGAATTAATTTCATCATGTAAAAACTTCATTTTATATACAAATACATATAATTATAGTTGAAGTATTGATTAGAGAAGAGGGGCAATTGTTACAGAAATGACTTTAAACCATAGGACATATTGGTAGACTAATTTTACTTTTCATATATTTCATTAGTCCTAGAAACTCAAAAATATATAGGAAACCATTCCCGTAATTTAAAAGTGAAGGAAAAAACATGAAATCAAATTCTTATCATTGCTGTCAAATAACTTTCTTAGAAAAGACTTAGAAACCTTACTCAGCTCACATTATCAAGATTTATATGTAATTTTTGAACTATAGCATTATTTGCAAAGAACCCTTAAAAAAATGGAAACCTTAAATTAAAAATGTGTCACACTCAACAACTTTATAGAAAGAACTAAATGGTCTGGCCACGATCACTGTTACTTAAACGTTGGAATTATATTGTTCATAAAATAATAAAAAAAGGTAGTATTATTCGAAAACTTTAGTTTCATTTAGGAATATAAAAATAACATATTCTTGAAGACAGCATGCAGGCGAACAATCCTGAAATTCAAGTGTTGAGACTGCAATCAAAGAAATTTTGTTAGTTTTTTAGAATAAATAATATATGTATGACTTAACACAATACTTGCGACTTCCACTGCAAATTATCGTTTTTTTAGATATGCTAATGAAGGTTGATATAAATTTATTATTATTGATTATACGAGTGACATTTTAAATCCTAACGGTAGTCCAAACGTTGTCTTATTCCAAAAGACCAACTTGAAATTACTTTTACATATTTGATGAATAAATTGATATTTTAAAGGACGAAACTCTCCTTCCTTTTCTTTTGTCCCCTTTGTTACGTAATTTTTTGTAATTATTTTCCTTATTAAATCCTTATTAAAAATTTACAGAGCACGAATTATAAAAAAAAAACAATATTGATTTAAAAACAGTATAATTATCATTCATGTTCAATGAGTGTTAAAAGAATAAAAGGCACTATTAGAAAGTTTGAAAGTAATTTATGGTTTTATAGGAAAAAACAAAAATGGCCACAAACTTGTTTTATCATGCCTTATTTCAATATTTATATTCATTAGGTGGTAGAGCCTAGCTGTGGTCAAGTTACTACAGCTCGAACATGGGCTGGCTCGACCGGGGAAGTACCACCCTCTCACAGAAAATCGGCGTGAAGTAGTCTTTAATGGCTGCGTTTCGTCCGGTGAGTGAGAGAGCCGGTTGACCTTTCCCTTTTCCCACCCTTTCCTTTCCCTCCCTTTCCCACCTTTTACTCCCCACTATCCCAAAACAAGGGCGGCAACACATCTGCATATCTACTTTGCAGATGTCAATGGGCGACGGTAACTACCTACCAACAAGTAGGCCATCTGCTCGGTTGCCCCCTTTTCCCATAAAAAAAAATATGGAATTCGTTCAATAATTAATACAGTAGCAAAGTAATTTCAATATATGTTCAAAAGTTTCGATGTATAATTGAATAAAATATAATATATGGTTGAATTAATTAATCAACATTAATCAGTGACTATTTAGACATCACTGATTAATGTTGATTCCCAAAAAGAGGGTTGATGTCAGGCAGGCGGCCGGTCGTAAAAACAAATAGCTAAAACTATTCACAACATATGTAAGGCAGACCCTGGCTATAGCTGAGAAATTGAGAAGGTAGAAGAAGAAGATAATATGTATATGGTTGAATTGATAAATTATATATTTGATGAAGTCGTCTAAAAATCTCATAACAAAAAGACGACTGTCTCAAAACTCCAATTTCAATTACCAATACAACCGATTATTCCACCGATTTAAGACAGTATTTAATTTGAGACAAATAAAGCAATATTCGGAAGACCCAATTCAAATCCAACTCCTGTCAATACATTTATCGTTACATATCTTCTTTTTGAACTTTAATTAAAAGTATTATTATTAGTTCAAAACTACTTATACAAATACTTAACTAAATCGTAACTAAAAACTTATCTAACACATAAAACCGGACCTTAAACAGTACCTTAATATATCTTTTTAAGACCTTTGAAAATTTTAATTACTTTTTGTAAAATGGTATTTCGATTACCGGAATTCAAAGCTGAAATTTTAATCTTTTTCATTTGATAATAATCGTTTTCGTTTATTATAAACAATAACCTCTATTTAAATCAGGTTTTTTGAATCATGAGAAAGCAATTAACTAAAGATAGATTTCAGAAATGTCAGTATATTTTCCTGTTCTCTCTACTCAACTAATTTGCCCGGTATCTTAAAGCGGGAAATATGACTACCTGTTTAATTTCAGTTAATTGGTGCTGAGGAAGATTTCATTGTGTAAAGTAATGATAAATATTTTTATTTTAAAATTGTAGGTGTCTAACAAGTACTTATTTTGATTAAATAACACAATAGTACTAGAAGTGGCAATTATCATTGCAATAAGCATTAAAAACGTCAATTATAGAGATTTAATTCTTATCATATTTTGTTTCTATATCTTAACAAATTATTATGCTTATATATTGTGGTGGCGCCTGCAAGCAATACCCTTGCACGGTGATTTTAAAGAAATAATAATCCATGGTATTATTATTTTTTATTTCGGGCAACATTTATGCAAGTTCATTTGTTTTCCTTGAACTTCTTACTCCGTGTTCCTGGGCTATATGTCAATAATAACAGTAGTTAATACTAAAGTGAGGATGATATCCATAAAACATATCGAAAATGAAAAGAAAACTCTAGAACGAAAAAGAATGTAACTGATATGTTCTCCCGAGAACAAACCTACAAGTATACTGGGGTTATCTCCTTACCAAAATCGGAAGGAAAATTTTTCAGGAAGTGTTTAAATTATTATACCACCGACATTGAATCCAGAAACTAAAGAAGCTTTGAGGGTAAATTTTATCAAGAAAAATTTATCTATGGTAATTCGACAGAAATATTTAAGTGTTACCGTAGCACCGATAATGAAAACGGTTTCAATATGTTAACAATATTTTGGTTGTATATTTTAAAACTCATAGGTGATGCGTATCACTATAAAACTGAGAAATAGAAAAAAATAATTTAGTTTTTGATTGATTTTCATTTAAGAAAAACCCTTAATAATCTTAAAGACTGAATGTGAATATGACTTGTTTTGTGAACATATGTGCAAAACATTAAAAGCAGACAAGACTGTACAAAAGTCCTTAAATTCCGTCAAAGGACGCTTAGCCAGAGGGTTTTAGTCTCGCCATTAATTCTTGAAAATGTTCAAGATCCAGGGAAACTTCACGTGCAGAGAAGTGCAGCTGCAGAACTGACGGGGCAGCCGAACGGAAACTAATATCACATGCTTGCGATCGTGTGGTGGGCCAGCCAACAGTGTTGACAACCAACGCCTTAGCCACACCAGACGCTGGCTCGTCACTAAACGTATCGTATGTCAATCCGTGTAAAGTTACTTTCTTGAATTCAAGGATGTAAGGCATAAAAGGAAATCTTTTCCAGAGTTGTTTATCCGCTAATGAGTGAATATAAAGTTTTATACAAATGAACAAATTAAAATTTATGATATTGAATCTCGTCTGTTATATTCTTAGATCATTTTATGTAATTTGATAGGTCATTTAGCAAATATGAAAGCCACATACAAATTGATAACAACGTGTTGAATTCATTAGTTTTAAAATGTAAATTTTGAAAAATAGTTAAGAAAAGAGAAAAAGTTGAAAAAAAAGAAAAAATGTAACAAAATATGAAATATCTTCATTGACGTTTACTTGACTGATATTGGATTCGTCTTCAAATGGAAGCCGCGGAGTATTGTCTTGTAAACGAATATTGTATGGGTTTGAATAATACCGAAATTTGACTGGCTATATCGAGGGAACGTTTATTCAATTTACAGTGAATATCTGGTACTTTCATGGTATCTATGTTCACGTGTAATAAATGTTTAAATTAATAACATACATTTTCAGAGGTTACATATATTAATATGGATTAATTTGTGTATGATTACTTTAAACTTACTCTTCAGTCACTCTCAGGAACTCATCTAAAAATATATAAAACATTTGTCGGTTGGTCATATATAGTCAACAAGTTCTTTATTTTTGTGCGTATCGTTGAGGACATCAAGTTTACCTAGGAGAAATACAAAACTTTTTTTGGAGTTAACGAATATTTGTTTTTGGAATTTCTTATAAGAAATTTATAGATACACAAAAAAATATTTACTCCCAAATATCTTTGTAGTTGCATGTTATATTAATCTATATATTATATTTAAATAAAACTAGAACTATATAATATTTTTAGGTAGTGCAATAAATATGTCAACTAAAGATAATTTGAATTACGTCATCCCATGTGAAGGTCTAAGCGCTCGCCCCTCGAAACTCTCATTGTTGATATCGGATAAGAGATAGGTGAAAACATTGAAACTCTAACCGATCGGCATTGTTAGCATTACTGTGAATTTAAGACAATGCTAGGATAATTCTTCGTATTTTGCTTTTAACAACAAGAAAATTTATAAATAAAAGCGACTTGAATAACTACATACAACATAATATGTATCTCAACTTTTAACATTTAAGGTGTTTGACAACTTTGGGTACGATCCCGTATTGACGATAAATTCCTTGACATACGTTTCTCAGTTTATTTACAGAAATATCAATGTAAAGGAAGAATGGGCGTAATGGATATGTCTTGTTTATGAAAATATGGTAACCGAAAAATATGAATTTTAAAAACTTTTGCATTCCAAACCATGAAAGCAAAATACTTTTTTGTAAAAAGATCTTTTTAATATCCACTCAATAGCCCATTGTTAATATGTATCCAAGGTACTTCATTAATTTAGAAAACTGGTTATTACGTGATTTTTTTTTGTTTGTGAATAAGCCTACCCTTAAATTTATAAGAGATGAAATTTTCAATTTTTAACATAAACATCGTAGTGCTCCAATATAAAGTAAAATAAAAGTTTAACCCTAAATATATCCCATTGCAAACACTTACATGTTCTCGCCTATAAGATGGATTTTTAAAACGAAATAAACAACTCACTCCCCCATTATTAACAATATTCCTGGGTGGGTGAAATTCGATACAAGAATAATATAAATAAATAATTGTAAGAATTTAAGGCCTAGATATCAGTTTGCCTTCACTTATAACAAAAACGTTTCAGATCGCATCGCGAGCATTTTCTTCAACAATCAGAAATTCAATAACACTCCGATGTTCGCAGCGTGAACATCGTAACAGCAAATTTGCCATTGTCTATTTTTTTCGTGTTGGCAATACCGACTCAATAATAATTGACAGTGACACATTGAACTGAAGTTGCTACTAATATTCAAAAGGGACAATTAATTGCTTCGGAAACGCCACTAACTAAAGAAGAAGAATTAATTGGTTCGCCATACTGTTTTCTCTTTCGGGTTGAAAATCATAGCTACATAATTCGTCCATATTTTTAATTTTGTTTGTACTTTGAGAATTTTCTGAAGTTGGTAAGAAATTTATTGTAGTTGGTAAGAATTTTAATTAATAAATTGTAATTGTTATATTGCCCCCATGTTCTTCTAGTCTACTGCATATCGAACAGGTTATTGTAGAGAAGGAAACAGTGAAAAAAGATCAGTTCGCCAAGGCCCACATAGCGGTGCCTTTGGCTTGCATGGTTTGAACAAATAGTATTCATTTTTCAACCAATAGTGCAAACACTCAGAGACATTTGTGTGGTTTGATTAATGATCTAAAACACATTGCGTTTATTTTTTAATGAGAGTCTGTCATAATAATTGTTGAGTATATTATGTATTGTAAATATTTTTTACTATTGATTTCCCACTCACATAACCAATTTATAATAATAGTAATTAAATTTAAGTTTTAAAAACACGTTGCAACACTTCTTATCACATAAATTATCAGTAAAAAGAAATCTTGTAATTCTTTATTTGTGTGTACCTAGAAATTACAAATAAAAATAACTAAAATTGACATTTAAATCACATAACCAGTTATAACAGTGATTCTAATTTCTTTACATGCATTATACATTTAAGTTATTTAAAGTAGAATAATATATGTCGGAGAAGATGCCAATATGTGGTTTTTCAAAAGAGGGACGTCAGCATAACTGACGTCACCAGTGCCGTTTGTTCTCGAATGTCGTCAGCCCTTGAGGCTATCGAAGGTAACCTCACAGCCCTCACAGCCGGTTGGACGATGTCTCACTTCGAAGAGGTTCGATCCCTGCGACGGCTCCAGCACGACTATCTGTAATCAGTAATCTCGCCTCTATTTATAATGACTAACAGCCATTGTTAGGACTTCACTCGCACAGGTTGTTACGTGAACGACATCTAATAATTTATCTACTCTCAATTATTGATTATTAAAATGGTAACTGCGCCGACATATATTTTTTGGCTATTATTCCACCAAATGGAGATTAGGGATTTATATTTTTTTTTAAGGAAAGAGTGAATACTAAATAGGCTTCAAATGATATTACTATATCATTGGAGTTTGTAGTTATACAAATTAATGAGTATAAAACACAGACGAAATGTAGCCAACCTCTAAGTGTTCTACAGAATACACGTTGGAGAGTATGAGGAGGAATTTTTATTTTTTACCATGGAAAAATCAGACTCAATTTCTATGTTTTCATTGAAGAAACATCTTGTATCTAGACGAAGCGGCACTTTTCCATTCGTCTGGAGTGCACAGCAAAAGATTGAAACACTGCTGTGTTTGAATTTCCTACAAATTTTCATATGGGAGGCTTCAAGACTACAGTAAAATGGCTGTTACTACGATAGTACTTTCACTACCTATTTCAGCCTAGCAACGGTTAGAACAATAATCAAGCACTATCATGTTAAATAAAAAAGACTAACAAATAAAAATGAAACCTTTAACATATTTGTAAAAAAAAATATGTATATTTGATTTGCGTACATATTCGTACTATTCATATTTAAATAGCATGTATTTTTGAAAATCTGCTGATTAAATGCTAGTTATAAAAACTGAAATGCAGATTAATTATCTTATTTCAAAAAAAACTTCTTTAATATCATGAATATTTTTCAACAATAAAGGAAAAGGTGAAAGAACGATATGAAACGTTGATTAAAAATAAATGGACTGCTTTGATGATGACAAATGTGAAATGACATTTTGATGAATGTAAAATAAATACAAATAATGTCTTAATTATTTGTATGTTAAAATCATTTATATGATTATACATATTTTTCCATCTACATGGATGTCATATCAATTTCAATAAATTGTTTAAACTAATGTCGTTTATAGATAATTGAATTTCTGTTGAAAACTAAATTATTTTTTGTACGCGTGATAGCTATGTAACTTAATCATAAGACTTTCTAAAGTAAACGCCGTGTGATTTTTCTTGCGATTCTTCGGGCTTCGGCTTTGGCACGTATGGGTTCTTTAAAGGATCCGCATTCAGTCTAGAAAAAGGATAGAAAAATAAAGTGACATAGATATTTTTAATATAAAGTATAGTTAAAAATCAGTTAACATTCGAAAATATTGACAAAAACTCATCTACCAAAAACTCTTACTTTTTAAAAATATGCGAAAGAACTGTAAACACCAGTTAGCTCCCAAGCCACATTTCAAATAACTTTCAATATGTCAAAACATATTAACATTCAGTATCTTTCCATAACATGGTATTGAGATGATATTTTTGTTTTATGCAAAATATTAATAATGGCTGATCTTTAAATTTATCACTTTTAAAAAACATCAAATTTATGTTTATTTATTGCCCTATTTTCATCTATAAAATCAGCCAATCTTAAATTATAACGTTTATTCATTTAGTGTTCTATAGCCTTAGAGCAGTCAACATTGTACCACCAATAGCAAGCAAATTTTGTTTGGTCAAACAGAGTTCCGTTAGTACAAAGAAATCAAGCACCCTTACTCACTATTTCACTATTGACGAGTACCAAAGTCCTAATTGAAAATTATATCTTGAAGTAATATGGAGTAAGAAACTTCAATACAAGAAAGTTATTATTATAAAAGTATATCTTTCCCACTTCATTTTTATGTATTTACATGTTATTACAACTACTACTATACGAACGAATCCATACTATTAATTTCAACAATTCCAATCATTAGAGTATAATCAAATTTAATTGTAAAACCGTTCTCATTTAAATTCCTTTATCCAAGTGAGTTTCCATTTCACTGCCTTTCAAGAATTGATTCTTTTGTAAATTCAACTTAATTAATTTCCTAGAAATAAATAAGAGTTTTAGGTTAGTCACACGGCGCTAACAATGTCTTCAAACTTATTAATTTAGGACAAATTGGTCGGCCATAGTAATTTCGTTACGTGGAAATTCGCAGAACATGATTATTTTACAGTTCGAACTGAGGGTTCAATGACTACGATAATCGAAAACTTTGAAAGGAA